AGAACGCACTCTGTGAAAAAGGAGTTCAAAGTCATATATGTATAATATGACTGTTCAATGCTCTTGAATGATGAAGGGTTGTAACTCTTCATTCCTCAATGATACTTTATGCCCCATTTGGATCACCACTTTTTTTGTTGTAACAATGTATTGTCGGCATACTAGATTGGTACCCCCATTCACAATGCAACTTGGGAATTATGGAAGCCGTATGATCCATATTAAAGTATGTTTATCTTTATTGATATACATCATTATGAATACATAATGAGATATGTATATATATGGTATATATCTCTTATGTATCTCTTCATTATAATAAGATTAGTTAGTAGTTATTCATAACCATTAGTATTTATCTTTAATTGTTACTGGCCGTATATTTATACTGGTCTTGTATATTTTTTATCAATCAATAAAGAGAGAGTTCTATGTAGTATTCTGAAATAATTTTCTATGGGAGCCTAAAGCCCAAATATACATAAATACAGTTTCTTAACAATCCATGAGTAGTCCATCTTGATTAGACTCGTTTCTTAACAATCCATGAGTAGTCCATCTTGATTAGACTAGTTTCTTAACAATCCATGAGTAGTCCATCTTGATTAGACTAGTGTGTTGCGAGGGGTGAAAACTTTCCAGATTGGGTTCGGATCCACCTAGATCTAGGTGCGGTTTTGAAAACTAGACATGGGATCCGAATCCGATTCAGGTCTGAAAACTATACATGGGATCCATATTAGGTCTTCTAAAAGTTTAAAAATTTATATATGTTAATATATAAAATAATATGCTATTTTAAAATTAGTTCAGATCTGGATTGGATCCACCTGTAACTAGATCCGATCTAAATTACTCTTCAGATCTAAATTTTGGATTTGGATCCAAATTTTGGATCCCTACCCGAATCCGAATAGGATCCGAAATTTGAGTTTCAAACCCAAACCGGGTAAATTCTCAGCCCTATGCGTTGCATTAAGAAACTAACCCAAAAATAAATAAAAAATAAGAAATCTTGATTATCCGCAAAATGCCACTGATAATTATCGCTTTACCTATATGAATAAAATAAAAAATATCTTTTTAACTTTTATTTCTAAAAGCCTAGAAATCTTTCCACTAGATTATGATCATTGTTTTAGTAATTGCACATAAAGGCAACTAGAGATACGGCTTGTATATGGCGACCAAGACGTCCAAACAAAGCCTTAGGCTTCATTCCGGAGGAGAATATGTTAAGGTAAATGATGGATTACCGGCTGTAATTGATTTGCACATTATCAATAAAGATTGTGTAGCCTGATGGATATGAGCGCAAATGCTATCTTCCCTTGGGACCATCCATTGTACACCTACTCCCTCAGTCAAAAGACTGGCTTGGGAGGATTATACAGTTTCAAATTTTGGGAATCACCTAAGAATCGCTATATGATTATTTAAAAAAAATAATTAATTAATTTTGAGTTTTTTTTCCAGTAAGTAAAACTGGTAAAGCAATGGGCATTTAGGCCCCTATCCTTTAGTGAGATTGGAGTCAGATATTTCATCATGGGGATCAACAATATTACCGCCAACGTCCCATGTCATTCTAGTTACCTTATGTCATTCTAGTTACCGTCCAAAAAGTGGTAATTTTGAGTTTTCTAACACTTAGATCTTACCCTCAAAAAATTGACAGTCTCTATATAATCTTGAAACAATATTTTTTTCAAGTATTTAGAGAGTCATCATTGTAGATCCAAGATTCATAGAATTTTTTGACGAAGTTTCATGTTTGTTGCCTACCTAATACAATCCACCTTCTTTACCTGGGCTTGGAATGGGTTAAGGGAAAGTTTAAGTGCACAAAGGAACCGGCCGTCCAGTTTTGTCAGAGAATCGACCGATTCGGCCCCTTCTTTAATTTTTTTATTTTTAAAATTTTTATTTTGTTCTTTACATTTTTTATTTGAAAAGTATATAATAAGACCATTTATGTTTGGTATATGGAGGTCATAATTATTCTTGACCATTGAATGTGAAATTCAACGAATGTAATTGTTCCATTAACCATACTGAAAGTTGTAAAACGAGTTTTTCAAATGTGTAATACACCCAAGCTAGCAGATTTCGCATTAAATGGATATAAGTAATTGTGAGCTCGTTGTACCAATGGTAAATAAACTTATAGTATATAATCCCTTTTTATTATTTTATTGGCCAAGTGAATCGGCCAAACCGCCTATCCGAACTGCCGATCTACAAATCTAAACTGGTTTTTCAAATAGGTGATCCGAGTCATCGAAACTTTTATTAAACGTTGCATAAAACTAAGAGATTGTATATTATGAGACTATTTATCTTTTTTATAAGGAAGTTGCAATTTCTCATATCCATTAGATATCACATTGGATGGCTTGGGCATATCATAAAATTCAAAGCTTCTTGTTTTAAATTTTGAGTCTAATCAATGACACTTACAACAACCTGATTGAAATCTAAACTCAAGAGTGATTTTCATCTCCTTGTACCAAAAGTAAATAGTCTTTTAATATGCTTTTTGTAATAATTAAAATTCAAATAGTGATATGTATTTTGAACCACCCGATGAATATCTAACAGTTGGAATCTCGCTTATATTACTATTCATTATAGCTGCCAAGTGTTTGGTAGCTTTACTCTAAGGGAAATAAGTGATTATTGGTTGTGTAGTTGATGGCTGAACTTGCACATTATCAAACAAAGATTGTGCAGCCTAAAAGATATGAGCACAAATGCTATCCTCTCATTGGAACATAAATTGTACACCTACTCCCTCGGTCAGAAAACTTGCTTAAGAGGATTTTACAATTTGAAATTTTGGGAATCACCTAAAATTCACTAGATGATTATTTTGAAAATAAATTTTTTTATTTTTGAGTTTTCTAACACTTATATCTCATCCTCCAAATATCAACGGTCTCTATTTAATTTTGAGACAATATTTTTTTCCAGTGCAAACAGAGGCATCATTATCATCGTAGATTCAATATTCATAAAAAGTTTTGGCAAAGTTTTAAGATGGCGACCGACCTAATACAATCCACCTCCTTTACTTGTGCTTGGGACAGGTTAAGGGAAAGTTTAAGTGCATAGAGAGTGCAATTTAAAAAAAATTTCATTGAGGTTGGTTTGTGTTGAAGAGTTTACATCTCCAAAATTTGAAGCTCCGAATATTACTCCTAGACCTTGTTTTGCCCAAGGTAATAAATGAACAATATACTCTTGTGGGAGCATAAAATATTTTTCCATTATAAATTTGAATTAAGAATATCTTTATAATTTTTCTCGTTGAGCTGTGGATTATATCATGAGGAAAAAGTTTAGATTGTAAAATTAAGATGTGCCTCAAAACTTCATCGGGAAAAGATTACTTTGACTTTGGAAGACCATCTAATCAATTATGTCAATATCGAGATGTATGGATATGGGAAAAAAAATTTCAAATCTCAAAAATATTATATCTTGTAACATATTATCTAGACTTCCATTTTCAATATTTTCATGCATTTATAGACCTATTTAATTTGAACCATGTTTGAAGTTTAAAAATATATAATTAAATATAAAAATAGATTCTTAAGTCCTCCTAAAAATTTTCGATACCAAAATTACATCTTATGACAAATTTTGGAGGTGCACCATAGTTTAAGGTTACAACATTATGCAAACCTCGTAGTATACTTCATTGGGTTATCCTGGTTACTTTGTTAGTTGTTGCTTGAAATATGAGAGTACATTATAAATCAGAAAATAATATTCTTCATACTCTTTTTTTAAAACGAGTATATTTATGGAAAATTTATCTAAAACTTCATGAAATGAAGTATTCAACATTTTATTTATTTCCTTTTTTATTCAAATTCTCAAAGAT